AAGTATGTATCACAGGTTTATAATTTTTTTATTAAAAAAACAAAATTGTTATTTTACACAAGCAATATTGTTGCAGTGCCATTTTACCAATCTTTCTATAATGGAAATTATTTATTACAAAGAATATTCTGTGTAATTTGTCTTATTTGTTTACTAAACGCTTCAACTCTTGTAATACCGTTTTATTAAAATTTTTATTTGTAACGACACTGAAGAAGGCCTAACACAAGCAGAAACGTTTGTAATTCCCGAGAAAAAATGGTATAATTGGTCAGATGTAAATATATACAATCAGTTATGAAAAAAAACTGAATTTTATATGTGGAAAAACAATGTTTCGCACATCGACGTATGTCGATTCGAGTCGTATTAGAGGTGAGTCGACGATTTATGTTAGTCCGACTATGTATATATTATTGAACGAGGTCAATGATGTTTTTGAGGAGCGATGCTTTTGACCGACGATGACGATCTCGTTTTGGGGAGAACGTCCGCGACCGTTGACGAGAGAACAACTGTAATCTTCCGTATCTTTTAATTTACTTTACTTCAATAAATTTACTTGTTTTAAATTAAATAAATTAGTTGATAATCAAACCAAGATTCCTACATATTTTGGAGGCTCAGCCGGGATCGGAGTGAAAGCAGTTGTTCTCAACTATTAAAAAAAGACGAAAAACAGTTTGCCGTGTGTGAGTCGTGTGCGGAGCACGAGACGTTTTATCGAAATTGTGAAGAAGTCGCGAAATGCAGGAGCGTTTAAACGAGACTCTGCTTGCACTAGCGGGAAAACGGGATTGTGTGCGTGTGACGAGCACGCGGTGGCCGCACACACGTATTAACGACGAATTAGCGACGAAGTGTGTCCCGCGACGAATATAGCCATGTCGGATCCTAACGTTCTCAGTGTGCTACAGCTGAAAAAACTTTTGAAGGCTCGTGGATCGTCGGCCTCAGGATCAAAAACAAAGCTCATCGCTTGTTTAATCGAAGCGGATCCGTCGGGCGAGTGGATGCGAGAAAGTAACGATGATGATGATCGCGATGACGATTGTGCTGGTGGAGACGTCTGTCGCGAAGATCGTATAAATCGACGAGAATTAGAGATCTGCAGGCGCGAAAGAGAAATTGCCGAACGCGAATTGGAACTTGCTCGCCGCGAAATCGCTTCACTGCGAGAGAATCAGGATGCGAATCGTGCGTGTCGGAGAG